TCTAATACGAAAAAGTAAGTTATTATTATTTTTTTTTACAATATAGCCTATAGGTAATAAAATTATTGGTTTATTTTATTATTTGTGTTAAACGTTAGTCATGAACCATAACTACCTATAAGGCTATATGTTTATACCAACCTGCATTAAATTACATAATAATGTAATATTGTATGTAAGCAATCATATTATGATATTATATTGATATTATAATAACTACCTATTGTAACTAAGCTTTTAACCTTGTGGCTTGAATACCTACTTTAAATTAGAATTTACAATTAATATATGTTTTATACATTATACCTTCATACAGGCATATTATAGCAATAATTAAATAATATATAACATTAATAATCATAAATAAAATATACATATATTATGTACAGAATTAAGATACACTTTTTTTAGTGATTATTCATAATATAACAAGCATTCGACTATCAAGCATTCGAGTATACGCTTTCAATATTATGACAAATAGGTATTTAATTTGGCTATTAATATTTTAAGGATAATTTTATTACGTAGGCATTATCACCATAATAAACTAGCTATATTCCTGGACTACCTGCAGGTTTAAAGTTAATCTATATATCTATCGTTTTCCGTTTTGCTTCAGTTGAAATACATAATACAATACATGTGAAAACCCCTTAAAAATTGGGTAATCCATTTCGTAACCTTTCCCGGACAAACGTCTGACAGACAGATAACTGATGTATATCTGAGTTACCGAATAAATAATACTAACTATGCGGCTATACTATGTTGTGTGTTACTTATATTGGTATATTTTACATTTTTCACCTAATACACAGGTACCTACCTACCTAAATAAATGAGGAATATATTAGGTAGGTGTCTATGTCTTTTTAATTTGCACTTATTTTAATTTTTAATTTATATGTATATATTTAATGGTGGGCCACCGAGTTCTTTAAAGGCATTAAGTTATAAGACAGGGAAACACAATATATAATATATATAACATCGACACATTATGCAAACCAAAATGTTTAAAATGTGTCTATAATATATTATGATTTATTACAACAATATATACCTACATCGTTGTGTAAAATATTAAGAAGTAATGAAGTGTATGATATTATTTATACATATATAATTAACTATAGTAGGTAGTATAGTACAATACAGAAGCTTCATATCGACGTGCCTGATATAGGTAGTAACTGTTTGTTGAATATTATTATTTTGTTTATTAATTATTTTATATTCAACTAACAGAAGGCTATAATAAGTCTATATTCCGATAAAAAATGCTACAGATAACTTTTTCCGGTATAGGGTCACATAGATAAGCATTATTATCTAACACTTTTAAGATTAAAAATATATTTTTATGTTCCGGTAAAAAAGTAATCAGTTAAAATAATGAACAGAAAAAAAAATATTTTATGTCCGGCCCAGATAATAATAGTAGGTAGGTATATAATATGAGGCGAAAGGAAGTCATCTGATATAGAACTGTTGTTTTAATTTCAATAATTTCGTAATAGAAAAGGATAACTAGGTATCTACGACATATTAAATAACGGCATGTAATAATTATAATATGTGAATAATAACATTTTAGCAAAGTAAATTATGAATATAAAAACATGTTTAAAACATTATATACATTATAATAGATATATAGTTTATCGATAGTTGGCTATCAGGTATAGGTGTGTTACGTAAACAAACTAATGCAATGATAAATAAGTAATAACTGGTTTTATTAGGTGCATACATTTACATAATAATTATAATAATAATAATAATATAAATATATAAAAATAATTGTCTAAAATGTACTTTAAATATTATGGGTTTGGTTTTTAAAATAGTCATTAATACTTATTATACTTTGTCTATGGTAAAATAACGTATCTATACTTTACTTATCCTAAGCAGGTACTAATTATAATACCTATATTATAATACTAAATGGTATTTAGTTTTTTATGATCAGCTAAACATAGAAGTCGTAGCCATATGAGTTATAAGTACCTACCTAAGATCTACCTATATAAATATAATATTAATTAGGTACAAAATATTGTTTTTATATATAAACTCATTATAAAAAAAAATTAACTGCATTAATTATTACTGAATTTAATAATATTCGAAATCATTTTTGAATGGCAAATGGTGATACATAATCATATGTTTGGTACATTATGAGTTATAAAGTAAGCATTATTAGTTTTGATGACTTGGATTCTAATTAAATCGCGTCGTCAGTGTATTTTTTCATAAAGAAAAAAAATATTGGATAATTACTTAACCCAATTAAATTTGATTGTACACATATCTATTTAATATCATTGATAATAAACTTAAATTACTGAACTGTTATTACTCTCTGGGTTTTAATTAGGGCAATTGTGCTCATTTACACAAACTATGTGGAGATGAAGTAGCTGGTACTGAATTATTATGAACATTTAAAATGCTATATATTAGGAGTACAGTAAAAAGATTCTATTAATGATTATCTAACGACTATACTATACATGGTCGGACATTTCATTGATTTTTTTGGAAGAGGGGCCTATTATCCAAAGCATTGTGGATTATACCCAGAGGCCAGAATATTATCTATACGACTATGCATACATGGTTCATGGTACATACTACTAAAGTACTATAGTCTACATGTAAACATACAGTTTAATTTAGGGGCTAAGGGCAGATTTCACCGACACAGTTAATCACGGTTAACGCTTAATCGGCTGATAACAGATATTTAACCGGCCAAATTTGGCCAAACTCCAGTTAACTTTAACCGTGATAAACTGTGTTGGTGAAATCGGCCCTAAGTCATTTAAACTTCTAAAGCCCTCCCTCCACATGTATGCTTATGCAACGTGACCATACAACACCATTTAAAAATTATAGTATTTACTTGTTAATATTAATCAAACATTTTATAATAAATTGGAAAAAATTGTAAAACCATTTTTAAGAGACTATTATACATTTTAGTACCTAACTCAACTACCTAACTATACCTAAGTACTTCTTTAAATTTCGATTTATCCAAAAAATCATCTGCTTAACAACAGCACTTAGGTTGTTTCTATTTATAGTAGATACCTAGGTAGGTACCTATAAACCTAAAAAAGATCGATTCTCATAAGTTTCTTATATGGTATAAAAATTAAAAATCTAAATAATTGAAAATAAGGTCTTTGGTCCTTATGTACCTATTGGCTATTGGTTATTAGTATAGGTATCTACTACCTACTTAAAAATTCCAATGATTAAAATTTGAAGTTGGTATTAAAAACCGGGTGTGAGCATACTCCATGAATCACACTTTATCTATAGGTACTATTATAAAAAGAGGAGTCGTTAGTTACCGTTGTCGAAAGTAATCTCTGGAACTAATAAACTGATTTCGAAAATTCTTTCTCCAATAGAAAGCCACGATATTTGTGAGTATCATATGCTAATTTAAAAAGGGAATTGATCACCCCCGGTAGGTAGGTGCTAAAACAGGAATTTTGAGATTTACGATAGAAATGTTTGTTTATTAATGGTTGCTATGGGTTGTAGGAGATGAGAATAATATTTATTTATAATTATTTTTTTTTAATTTGAATATTTATGGAGCGTCTCAATTTCATTCGTTTCAATCAGTTGAAGTTCCGATCAGACGAGTAAATCCACTTGCTTAACGCCATCGCTACTGAAGGAGACGCGGCCAACATTAGTCATTTGACCAAATATATTTTATACAAATAAATATATTTATTGTATATAAATGAATATTTGTGTGTAGATTAGACCTCTGGGTAGAAGATAGGCTAATTTAAAAAGGATTAAATTTGTTTCTTTTTATTCATAAGATTTTAGTACGGTTGGGTTAGGATTTTGTATTAATTGATTATATTAATCCGCCGTAGGAGGAGTTAAGTAAAAACGATAAACTTAGTATAACTTTGGTCTTTGATACTCTAGAGTTAAATCATGCACTTATCTACGTACAAACAGCACAGGGTCCGCGATCTACAGCAGGTAGATTGCCTACCTGATAATAATATACTGCTGCGAATCAGAATTTGTATTCCGGGAGACGGAAAAGTTAAGATACGTTTTGAACACCATACACCGAATATTAAACAACGAATTGAACAAAGTTTGAGTCATAAAGAGTTGGTACATTTAACGGGATGCACTGGATCTAATAAAATTATATAAATAGGTATACAATATTACAATGCTATAAAAAATAGTTTTAATCGATTTGTGGCCAAAGATTAGTAACATGATAACCAGGACTATCCACTATCCAGCCTATATAACCACAGAATGTTCTGTGATATAACTGCAGTTATTAACACCAGGCATAGGTACCTAATATAATATTATTATAATTTATATTATGCAATATGCATCTAATATCTACACTACTCTCTATCTATATAGCGGTGTCATTTTATAGAACAGGCATGTCAAACATAAATTATCAACGGGGCCAAAAATATTGAATAGAATAGATATACCTACCTACTATTTGCCTATGCTGGCCGCACAAAAAAAACTTGTTGAAAAAAAACATTTTATATAAATTTCACTGGGAAACTACGCAACATAACATAATATATTATTATGGACCTAAACCTAAAAATCTCTCTAACATAATATTTGTAACATAAAATTGTACCTATTTTTTTTTTTTTTTGCTTTATGTTTTCGTCTAATTTTCCAATGATCCTGAAGGCCACGCCCTTAATAATGAAGAGTCACGGGCCACGCGTGCGTAGTGACAAGCTATTTGTAGAAACTAGAAATATAATAATAGCAACTTACCTACTTCCTTTGTTTTCGAAAAATTATTTTTATAAATAGGGACATTGGTGGAAGTAGGTACCTAAGTGTAATATTAATTATATATCAATAATTTGATTAGAAATCTAAAGTAAAAATGAAAAAGCTAACAGTAATAAAATAAATATTTACTTTTTTAGGACTTAACCGTCAATATGGTTCAGTTCAAGGATCTTGTTACTCGGACGTTGGTATTATTTATACTTTTTGAGTGTTCTTTGTCGTTAGAAGAAAAACCAGTATGAATTATTATTTTATTCTTATTTTAAAAATGCATGCTTAATATATTTTTACATTTATTAACTATAGTATGTAGCCGCAAGGCTGGGCATTAACGAGTTAAAAATTAAAATTAAGTTAAAACGTTAAGTTAATTTTAATTAAGTTAATTAACTCGTTACTTTTTTTTTCAAATTAACTTTTAACTTAATAAGTTGCTTTTTTTCAAGATTAACGTGTTAACTTCAAGTTAATTTTATTTCAAAAATATCTAAATTAAGTTAATTTTCTTCCGAAGAATAATGAAAATTTTTTAATGTGTTTTTACTTTGATGTATCATTTTAAATTTCCCCAGTAATTTTCTTAGACGTAAAGAAAAACTATCTAATAAACCACATTATGTGTCTGGAATTTTCTATTTTTGCAAATTAGCAAATTTTAACTTTACACTAAGTTAAGTTACTTTTTTTTCAAAGTTAACTTTTAACTTAACGAGTTAATGATAAAAAATACGAGTAACTTTTAACTTAACTTAACTTAATTATTTTAAAATAACTTAACTTAACGAGTTAAAAAAAAACATTAACTTGCCCAGCCTTGTATGTAGGTACATTGATGAGTTGATTAATTTGTTTTTATTGAAAATTCAGGTACCTATATTGTCTTACTGAACCACACATAATAAAATAACATAACATTAGCTAATAAGATAACCTTAATAGTTAATATAGTTGTAGGTATATTACATAATTTTCTGGTTTTAATAATAATTTCTAAAAATATCAAATTATATTGTTATAAAAATTAAAAGTGAAAGTTTTTCAAACAAAACAAATTTTCAAAGGTTTATATGACGTAAAGTTCAATATCTTTTAGAAAATAATTCTGTATGATACTTCTATAAATATTTCTTCATCAAATATGTCAAGCCTGTTTTTTTTTAAATTTCCGTATTCACCATGAAAAATTATGTTAAATAATACGGCTTTTAACGACTTCAAATGACAAATTGTAAAAAAAATATTCTTGAAAATGTGGCAATTCTTTTTGAGATAATGAGTGTTTACTGTTAAAAGAATCACCCCAGTACTTTCTATGCTCAGTGTCAAAAATAGGAACAAATTTCAAAATGGTGGAGGGTGCTCTAGCTGAGAATTTTTTTAATGTTTATTAATTAAGTACCTAGATACTTAAATGTTATTCATATTTTTTGAAGGGTCTTCTATGAGTTTTATGGGTTTTATGAGTTTTATATATCAAACTTAATAGACTAAATATATTATTTTACTTACTAATTTTTTATAGAGGAAGACTAAAAAGTGGATGAGAAATAAAATTGAAAGTTTGCCGAAAAATCTCATGGAAAATGTTTTGGTTAAATCTTTGGAAGGCAAAAAAAATATTCATGATGAACCATCCCAGATGAATGTACTTCAACTTTCAGAAATGACCAATCAACAAAGTAATTATTTGTATTTTATAATGTTTTTAGAAATAAAAAAACTAATGATTAGTGACATTCAAGTGAATTTTTTAATTTACAATTGTCAATCACCCTTTCTCTTCTAACCAGCTATGCCTACAGGAAGTGTTGCATATGAAATATCTGTTTATAAATTCATTACATGTATTTTCTTCTTATTATTAGAATCATAATCATGGCTAATACATAAAAGTGATCCAATCAAATTAATGTAGAAAACTGCTTGCTGGTAGCTTTTTTTTATTGGTACTGATAAAGATAATATCATAATTTAACGTAGTTCACGGATGTAATAATGTTTCCCTGTAAATTGTAATGATATTTTGTATCAATCAAATACTATAGTTTTCTTTCAATGCATATTTAAAATAATTAATGGATTTTATATTTTATAAACTTTAAATTTAAATCCATATCCAATTGGTGGTAATAAATTAGTGTCAGAATTGTATTGAAAAATGTATTAGTATACACATTTCAAAAATATTTCAGATATTTGTAGTTCCAAACATATATTTTTTTTTATTTAAATAAAATAAAGAAGATTCTAAAACATTTAGTTGAATGCAGACGACATGCAAAATTTAATTTTGAATATCATATTTATTTTATACTTAGTATAATGATTTTTAGTATCAACTATCAACTACTTATTAAGTATAAAAATTAAATTAAATCATATTAACTGTCTAAATATTTATATATTATGTATAACATCTTAATTCCATAAAATCTTAAATAATAGTTGTTATAAATATAATAGGTATAGAATGCTATAAATAATTTAAATAAATTAACTTTCTTGGCCCTAATATTCTACTTGTATAAAATATTTTATAAAAATGCGGAACAATATTATTTTAAAATATATATTTTTGTCACAACTAAATATTAGTTATTTTTTTATTTTTTATTTTTATAATTAAAATTGTATTAAAATATCACAATTTTGACAGTTAAAAATATATAAAATTGAATAATTATTTTAGTCAACATTAATCATAACTGACTTAATTGAATCTTCAGGTCTTGAAGTTAAAATAGCTTGTGCACCCTTGGGAAAAACATATATCAGAAATCCATCTAGTATTATACATCCTTCTTCACAGTGAGTTTCTACTTCTGCCTGTTTTATTTTATCAGACTTTATTAATTCATCATTTGACTGCCAAAGTGATCTTCCTGTTGGTTCTCTTATAGTGTACTGTAAATATTCCAAATCTGGTCTATAAACTAGATTTTTGTTATACTCATTAGCTATTTTTATACATTCTTGTTTTGATATTTGACAATATTTGTGACTTAAAATCTTTTGAACTTCATTAACACTAATTTTATTCAATGCATAACTCCATGCACTTGATCCAGTTCCAGTACTTATACATAGTCCTGATGATTTTATTTTTATGGGCATATTTCCATCAAATATGCACTCCATTTCAGAAGTACGTCCTGGCATTTTATCACCAATAAATACTTCATTAAGTGCCAACATGTCATGTGATGAATGCGAATCTGGTCTAATTTTTACAAAATCTTGATACATATTTAAAGGTGGTTCCATTTTTTCTAAAAACAAATAAATAATATTATTAGGGGAGTGAATTTATTGCATTTGCATCTTTCTTTCTTTTTATATATTTATTGCTAAATGAACATAAAATGTTTTTAATTAAATTGATAAATAAAATAAAATTTTTTTAATTGCTATTTTAGTGATTTTAATTTGTTTTAGAGTCATTTAAACTATTTTTTAAATAATTTAAATAATATATAGCTTTATATATAATACCAATTGTAGAACTGTGTAGCAGAGTACATATTTAAAAAGCTCAACATAAGTTCATAGTTTAATGGAAACAAACTTAATGTTCGTTTGTTCCAATTATGGTCTCATACCAGCAGAAACTAATATAATTTCAAAATACCATAAATTAAGTATTGTAAAAATAAATTATGAGTTTGTAACTAATAATCTGATTTTTAAAATGTTGAATGGAGACATTTTCAGACTGCTAGGATGGTGGATGGGTGAAAATGTTGGTTGTTTGAATAAATTTGGGTCGATTTAATGTATTTTGTAACTAAGGAATAAAAAGAAAAAGGGTAAAAATACCTAACAAAATGTTAAACCAAAAAAACTATTATTGGATTTTAATATTCGAGCCAAATTTTCAGTTTTCCTTGGGTCGATTTTCATTCCCAGTCTGTACCTGTTGCTAGAAGACGTGAGCAGTAATGTTCTAAATTATTTCAAGTCACATCATTGCACCAATTATATTCAGCAATGTGGAAAGAAGTTTCTCCAGATAAAAGAATCAGTGGCGCACACTCAAAAATAAATAGGGGTAGCAAATTGATTCGGTTACCTTTATATTGGCTAATAGACTAATGGCTATAGCCTTATAATTATTCAATAGTTTATTTTCAAAATTTTTATACGTAGTAGAATTTTCATGATGTAAATATTTTGGAGACAGGGGTCCACCCACCCACCTACCAAAAAAATCAGGGGTAGCAATTGCTACCCTTGAACCCTCCAGTGTGCGCTACGGTAAGAATATGTTGTACAATAACAGATGGTTGAAAGCTTAAAAATGCACTTGTTGTGCAATGCAATAATTTAAGAATATAAAAAATACGCTGTGTCTAGAGCACCGGACACCCGGACATGTAATAGAGTACCAGGTCACACTGTAAATAACTTGTTGAGTATCACACCGAAAAGCATTAGGAGTGTAATTTAAATATTTAATAATAGATTTTTATTAGGAAAACTTAAACTGTTTATTTGGCCTTTACATATCTTTATATCCTTTCCATTGTATAACCCTATGATCATAGATAATATAAGAATTTTATTATTCTTATATTATCTATGCCTATGATAAGTATAGAGCTGTACTAACCTATAAAAGTTAATTGCACTAACCTTGTACAAGTTATTCAAGTTATTCAGTTTTAAAGTTAAATTATATGAATATGTAATTATGAAGCTCCAAGATAGGTTTAATCGTTTGAAGAATTCGAAAACAGCTTTAGGGTCTACAAAGACACACATTTTGTAGATTATTTTATTAAAGACTGTAAGACATTGGCACATTGCACAATTCTCAAAAAGTAGAATGGTTACAGCATCAAGTGATTTGAAATATTACTATATCAAATTTTGTTGTGTGTATGGAGGAAGCTACAAAAAAACGGTACTCTATTACATGTCCGGGCGCCCGATGCTTAGACACGCCTAAAAAATAATGTTTTTATTTACAATTTTCCAATGTAAATTTCAAATTTTGGATATATTTCAAAGCAATAATGCACTCAATTGAATGTATTTATAATGTCATAGTTTCACTGCCCTGAATATTATTAAACAATTTATGTTAAAAAAAAAAATTGTATAGATTCTTACTTTTGATACTTTTCATTGAAACTCTAATTCTTCTTCTGTCAATAAAAGAAAAATTTTGTTTTTCTAACGTATCAAACGTGTTCTGTATATTTCGGGAACAAATATCTGGTAAACATAAATAACCAAGTGATGCACTTGGATTGGAATTAATTCCAATGACTGGGGTTTGATTATTTTGAACATAACTGGACATAACCAGAAACGTTCCATCGCCACCGATAGCAATTAGAACATCAGCCCAAGATACTGCTGCAGTATTAATATCCTTAAAAAAATAAAACAATTATGTATGTCATCTAAAATATACTTTTTGAATGGTAACTATTTAAAAATATGATGTTTCATTGATTTAAAAGTTACCTTCAGATTAATTATTTTTGATTCAACATCCAAACGGTTTATGGCAGCTGTCACCTCTTTTACAATATTGTAGTGTTCATTATGTGATTCCAAAATAGTTTTCAAGTTGGCACCTTGGTTACTTAATTGGTTCATCAATTGTTTTTCTGATACATTTGGGTGCTCGAGTCTTTCACGCTCAACTCTAGTATACTTTGCTACTAACAACACTTTTTTGCCTTTCCATAGTTGAATATATCTGCGTCCGATACACATTTGCTTAAATGTTTTTTTGATAATCATTAGGTCCTTGTCAAAAAAAGCACTGTGGTGCTGGACGTGTATGCAAGTTGACTGAAAATGGTGAAGCGGAATGCGTTTGTATTTCAGATTGTCCTGTTGAAACAGAAGATAGAAGAAAGGTGAGATTAACATAATAACATATTATAGTGATTTTTTTCAATTTTGTAAGTATTTTTAGGTTTGTTCAAACTATAATCAAACATGGGGTTCTGATTGTGAAATTCATAGAATGCGTTGCAACTGTGAAGAAAAATCAGAAAAATGTAGTAATCCAGAATTTAGTCACCTACATGTGGAATATTACGGGGCTTGTAAACAATTGTCAGTAAGTTGCAATAAAGGCGTTAAACTATAATAGTAGTAGCCAGTAGGAGAATTTAACCATTCATGTCTCATGATTAATTTGCTATGAATCTTTAGGCATGTTCTGACTCAGAAATGGCAGATTTCCCAAGGAGAATGAGGGAATGGCTTTTTCACATAATGCAAGATTTGGCAGATAGAGAAGAATTAAGCCCCCATTTTAAAAATAAGATGAATGATGCAGAAACTAATATGACAAAACTTTGGAGTAATGCTGCTGTTTGGAAGTGGTGTGATTTGGATGGTTATCCACATGATAGGTTAGATGACATAAAAGTATTAATTATTTATTATCAAATAAATACAAAAAAAGAAAAATATCTAATATTGTTATTGTTTGATTAAAATGTAAGTTGGGAGGTTAAGTATAATATTAGATACAATTTATATTTTTATTGCTTATATCTAAAATGTATAAATCTTGAAACATTTTAAATGACAAATATCATGAAATATATATTTTGATATTTTTGATCTAATATAGTAAGAATATTTTGTTTTTATTTGATATTATATTTTTTTTTAATTAACTTATATATTAATTTTATATTTAAAATACATTTTTTTGAGGAATAGAACTAGTAATTCAAGAGTATTTGTTTTATTTAAGAGTTTTTGTTTTACCAGATACCATTTTTTTTAAGTCTTAACGTTTGTAGTTAAGCATGATAAAAATTATGGTGGAGTCAGAATTTGGTGGTCGGACTTAGTTTTGAAGTTATAGCTATTTGAAATCCAAGACCCACCAAAGGCAGTTTTACATAACAAGTTGAGTGAACACGGCTGTTATATATGAAAATATTATAAATTTCAATTAGCTATAACTTTAAAAGCAAGTCTGACTGCCAAATTCTGAATTCGCCATCGTTTTTAGTATGCTTGACTACATAGGTTAAAATGGAAAACATTTTTTTAAAATAAGGGCGTTTGGTAAAACAGAAAAGTTCCAATATTTAAGTATTTTAATGCATATTAATACCTATATTACATTGAATATTTTGTTAGTATGTAATAAATATTTATATTAAATGTTTTAGATCTGTATCGAGACACGAATTGTTTCCAATTAGAGCACCACTTATGTATTTAGAACATTGTATTGCTCCATTTTTAAACAAATGTGATGCTAATTCAGATCACATGGTTACACTTGAAGAATGGGGAAATTGTTTGGAAATCCCTAAGGTGAGTAATACTAAATTACAATAGATACAAATATGTAGTTTCTAATGGCATTTTAATTGTTATTGCAGGAAACACTAGAGGACGAATGTGATGACTTACGCCAAGAACTAAATTAATGAAAACGTTTATTTGAAAATATTATGGTTTATTAAACATTTTGAATTATATTATCTTTTATACTATCTATAATAGAACGCACATTGTATAATCAAATTATATAAATGTATTGAAAATTTCAATATTTTAATATTATACCTGTAAACGGAGAAAAATGTTTTGAATACCTATAATTGAGCACCTACCAAATCCCATTATAGAAGTATAATTAAATTGAATAATTAAAAACTTTTTATAAGTTGTAAATAAACTCATAGGCGTAGCTATGGCGGGTCTGGGTGGGCTTCAGCCACCTCATAGTTTCTTAAGCCCCTATACATTTTATTTATAATTTACTTATTAAAAAAATGGGTGCTAGGGCTGGAGCCCCCTAACTTTAAGGTCTAGTTACGCCCGAGGTTACGCCTATGCCTACACTGAATACATTATTTATATTTATAAGTTATAGCTTAAGAAAGGTAGTTACTCTTAATGTTCAATCACATTATTAGGTACAAAATATTAAAGCATTTTACAGAACTATTTCTGTTTGTCCAGTGCTTGCTTGGTGAATATTGAGGCTATATGTGAACTGTTGTAGTAGTGCCTATTGAGTGGTGTGTTTAGGAATTATTTTGTGGCATTTAAGGAAGTGCGATTTTACCTATGCCAATCAATGAATCTGGTTAACTTCTAGCTAATTATTAATCAGTAATCTATTTATATAATTTTATAATTAATAATAATTAGTTAGATACCTAATAACTAAAATTAATTAACATACAACATTATTTAACTTTAAAATATATAGCTAGCTAAGTGCCAACTATTAATTAACAGTAAATTCCCAAACATTTATTTTTCAAACTGACCTTTAAATGCATATTTTGCAATTTTCCAAAACATGAACAATGCTTAAATAAAATAAATAAAATTAATAGAATATAATTAGGTATTAAATAGTTAGAAATGAAAATCTTTGCTAGTAAATATCAGTGATCAGAAAATTAAATTTTAGAAGTAGGAACCTATGCAGTATGCACTTGTAAACTTTCAAAAATTATTCTTGTTGGACTGCAGGATGATATAACTTTAACTCTGATGTTTATCATTGGAGTTTTGTAAAAAATCATGCAGACTATTTTATTCTCAATTGAATAATTTTTAATTTATTTGAACTACATGAATACTGAAATAAAAATATGGAAAAACATTGAAACAATTATGTACCTACACGCTTACATTATGTACAAGTTGTACTATATTATGCACAGGTATACCAAGGATATAAAATTTAATATTAAGTTTGTATGTCCGTTACCCACATTAAATAAATTAATTAATATACCTAATAAAGATATACTAAGAAAATTAGCTCGGAAAAAATAGCTATTAGGTTGATAGCTAGTAGGTACCTACTTGAGAACTTCTTGAGAATTAATAAAAAATCAACGATGGTATTATCATCATGTAAAATAAATATTAATTAGGTAACTACATTTTTATTAAATGAAAAAGCGAAATATCGTTTTTTACGGTCTAGTTTAATAATTTACATTTGAAATCAGCCAACAATCAATCAAAAAGTTAATTTCAGTAACAACACGAATCGTTACATTTTAACGTTAGGTAACTTAGGTAAGTATATTATTCTATTGATATATAAATTATAAAAACGAAGTTACACCTGCATGCTTTGTCTCTGTCTTACAAACGCATAATAGAGTAAGTTGTACGTTCTGAATAATCCATTAAATTCTGTTATGTTTAATATTAGAGTGAATTGATCTAACTTATAAGCATTTTAAAATTGTTTATTCATTACATGACGCTAATGAAAAAAAACCCTTAATTCTAAACTTGATGATAGGACATCGGATAGTTCCTCTAATTTTAAACAAAGTTAAATGTATTAATCAGAAGGTATAATTCGCTATACTACGCATTCGGGTTTAGCGTCCACTTAAGTGTGGGTAATAACGAGTAAAGACTATAATAGGGAAAATACCGAAGTCATGACTGTGAAATGTGCGTAGATCACGTGTTTTTAGATACCTAGCAAGCATTTGCGCTAGCCGCTAATGACAATGGACTATTCAATTTTGACTACTCAGTGAGGAGTGAAGATTTAAATTCTGAGTATTTAGTACCTACCATGAATTAAGATTTACCATAAATCTTGATTCGTGGTACCTACAACTATTTATTGACTTACTCAGTGGCGAGTAGTGACTAGTGAGTTGGACCTTGGGAAGAGTTTAGGGAAAAAATCGAAAAGTAAAAAAATTCAAAAGTTGAACACTCGTCTGCTTAGCGGCGGCGATGCTGTTGCCGGCCGCCGGGCAGACGAAAAGCACGTCCAGGTCCAACCTCCAGACGGAGGGAAAATCTCGTCCGTCCGGTTGGGTGACACTGTTTTTCACGCCGATCTCTCTGCGGCCCGCGGGGATAGAGTTGTAGTGTTGACGTGTTGTACACTTGTACGTTGTACGTCAGCCACTCAGCCGGCGGGAGATTGAGAGAGGTTTAAGATTATGGTTAAAGGTTAATATTCTTAATCACGTTCACGTAGCATGTGTCGTCCGGCGGATTCAAATAACCGGAAACGACGGCGTTGACAATTGTGCACGGACGGCGTTTGTCTATCGACGTGTAGTAGAAGTGGTGAGGAGGAGAGCAGGAAACGGGAGGTCCGAAGTCTACCGGGGACGAGAGTCGAAACCGATAAACTCTTTTTACACACGTCATCGTAAGCGATAAGCAGCCGTAAGTCGTAAGTACCGGCAAACCCTTAAACCCGATTTAATAGGCAATAACAATATCGCTCTGAGCACGAAACACGACGTGAAATAACCATTTCGATGATAACAATTATTTATTATTTATCGTGTCGCAGGCAAAGTATTGGCTGTGTAGGGAACTAGGGAAGTGTAACGAATAATAATCGAGTACCTAGGGCCTAGGCTAGTTGTAGTCGGCGGTGTTTGTTTTTTACAATCTTACTTTAAGCGTGCGCAGGGCTCTTGCGTCTGGACGATTTTTTATTCTATATCTAAAGTCGCCGACCGGCCACTGTCGTCGCACGTCGTCAGCTGTTTCGCCGTGGTCGTGTTTTCAGTCGAACACCGCACTTAATAAGTAACGTCAACGTCGATTGCGATAGTACGGCTATGACGATGGTTTGCAAAACGTTTTTAATGATAATGATAATATTACGGTGTGGCACGAACGCGTCGAGTGTACAACTACTGTCGATGGCTAAACAAATTGTGAATAGTGAAAGTTGCGCACGCACACGCACACACGCACCGAATACGGATTATGGGGTCGCGGAAGCCGGCGGGTTAGGTTAGCCGGCGGTTCGGTTGTGTACTTGACGTGTTGTAGCTTCACGCTTGTTATTGTTGTTTTTAAAAATAATATTATTATGACATACTGCCGCGTTATCAGAGCTGTACGCTTTAGTTGATAACGACGAGATTATTATTTTTGTTATTACGGACGTCGTGTGTGCGTGGTTTGAGGGGACGTCGTCCTGGAGTACGAAGTGACGGACCGCCCGCAGAGTGCACCGTTGTATATTATAGTATTATCAGCTGCTGTTGCAGTTGCTCTGTATTGCTGTGATTGTTGTTCTGAGTTTCTCACAACCTGCTCCGATCGCCGTTCGCCGGCGGCTTTCATTCTACCTATAAATTATTTTATAAATATACAATATACATATTAATATATTATTATAATATTTTGATTCATTTACGTATTATAATATGTAATCACGACTCACGATGGTCACATGCCAAAATTTTGTAATGATAATAGCATAAAGACAAACTTAAATCACGAATAGTATTAGTATATAATGTTATAAAAATATTTTTAAACAAATAATTGCTGTCTGAAAAATGTTTTCATCCCTACCTATTTTATAAATTTAACTTTAAACCTAATCGTGTTGAATTTATATGATGTTCTACAACTTTGCTGTACTAGTATGTTTAGGTGCCAAATGTTGAAGAATGCAAGACTTTGTAGCCCCTATGACCTAAAATCGCAATTATGGGCGAGCTAAGCCCCCCCCCCCCAAAGTCTGCCTTACAGTCTACTTCGTACGATTTAATTACCGATACCGACCATTCAGAAATATTTGGACGTTGTTTTTTTTTGGTTTTGGAGACTTATTTGCTATATATTATTTTTCGGTATACACCTTTTGGGGCAGTGGACTGCCAGTGGTAAGATACTAAGATCAACAAGTGAAATTTGTCAAGTTTTATGCCGCATTTCGGCATAAGATTACATAAATCAATTAATATAATATAATATTGTAAGGACTTTTTAGAATATTTTAATGTTTATCATACCGCAGTTTGATGAATTGGACTCATACTAGCTGCTAGTATTTACTGCTGCAGTGTCAGTATAAAATAAGTAGATTCATTGAAATCGTGAGATGTAAAATTTCACATTGAAGATTGAACTAATAAGCTAAATTGAGAACATACCTACAACATTATGGTACGACCATTGATTTTATAATATTTATTATCACTTTTTAAATTTCTTATGCCTGCTTTTTAATTTTTCGAATTTTTTCTACATATATTATAAATTGCAGATAAAATATACAAATTATTAGTGTTATAAAAAAAAAATAGTATTCGTATACCTATAGGCAATCAAATATCGATCATAAGATGGCATTTTAAGTTTAAAAATTTAAAACATTGTCGATATAATATACGTCAAACAAAATAAAATGAAAGTTATCGTATCTCATAACTATTAATTATTATACAAAAACATTCATATATGTATACTGTTTTTGGAGAGGGTAGATGAGAAGCTGGTTACATGCCTTTAAAATATATACCTTCTTATGTTGTGTATAAATAATATACAATAATATATAGTATAGTATTACGTAATTTCAAGAACATATTATAATATCTTTTATATCAATTTAGTTTTTAAATATTAGGTATATTTATAGTACCTACTACCTACTTAGCTATATATAGAT